CTCAGCAGCACCCCCAGACGCACCAGCGCTAGTAGAAACACCAGCGCCAACACCCTCAGCAGCTCCAGCTCGAGCAGCACTAGTACCGTCAGCAGCTCCAGCAGGACCAACTCCAGTAGCCCCAGCAGTACCCCCAGTCTCAGCAGCACGTCTCTAGTGGTGGGCAAACAAGGCTGAAGTGCCTAAAAGAGTATAGAAACGCTGATGATCACAAGGCTGAAGTGCCTTGGTGAAGATATCAGTAGTGTTGGCCCGAGAGGCCAGGTGTGAGGATCTAGGATCGAGCTCAGAAAAGTGAGTTTGAATTGAATGATTCACCTGGGTATAACACGAGGCTATATATAGTCTCGACATAAGGCCAGTTACCCACGTGTTACGGAAATGTTCTGAGGGTCGGGAAGCGTCCCGAACAAAACCTTCCCAAACTCTGTAGAAGGCAATCTGGTGGAAATCGAATAGGCTTGAGTTCGGTACACATAACCTGGTTCAGTGCTATAACTATAATAACATATAGGAATGCTCCTAGCCTATGAAATCAAGCATATCTATGCATGATAAATGAAACCCAAGCTAAATATAGCATAATATAGTCCAGGCAAGCTGGCAAAGCCAGCATAAGCCGTCGCACTCTCACACGTCCCCCCCTCAAAGCTGGGTGGCGTGAGAAACACGCTGCTTGACAAGATAGTCCTTGAGAGCACGGCGTGCGTTGCCCATATCAGCTTCTGCAACCCAACTGTCCTCTGTAGGGTCATAACCCTTCTAGCGTATTAGGAACTCGAGGGTCTTGCCGCCGCGGCGCCGATGAGTGAGAACGCGCTCCACTTTGTACTCTAGTTAATTCTGTACGAGAACAGGTAGTGGTGGCGGTAGCTGCCGTCCCTAGAACTGTTGGTTGGAGTCCTTGCCAGGCTTCAGTAGCTGAACATGGAAAGCATTGTGAAGATTCCACATAGTAGGTAAGTGCTAGCGGAATATTACTGGTGTCACCTGTGCCTCAACGAGAAAAGGACCATAGAAGCAAGGCCGGAGCTTGGATGGTAGGTGAGACAGGTTCAAGTTGCGTGTGTCAAGAAGCACCTGATCTCCGACTGTTACTGAGTGATCACGTCGCTGGCGATTTGGCATACTGCTTATGGGAGGTTTGCATCGTGGTGAGACGTCGCTGAGTCTTCTCCCATAGCTGCTTCATGGTGGTGAAGAAGTCGTGTGCGGCTTGGACGTGTGACGGTGTTGTTGGCTGCTGTGGTGTGAGTGGTTCCTGTCCATGACACACGAAGAAAGGAGTTTTCCCTGTGGCCGCATGTGTCGCGTTATTATAAGCAAACTCTAGGGTCGGCAACTGTGTGTCCCAGTGGCTGACGTCATCTTCGAAAGCTTTACGCAGTAACTGTTCAACCATTTGATTGAGTCGCTCAGTCTGTCCGTCAGCCTAGGGTTGGTATGCTGAAGACATTGCAAGTTTTGTCCCTATCAGTCCCATGAGCTGCTTCGAGAACTTACTCGTGAATTTGGGGTCTCTGTCTGAGATGAGTGTAGTGGGGATGCCGTGGATGGTGATGATACGGTCGAAGAAGAGGCAAGCAATTGCTTCAGTTGTAGCCATGGCATTGGTCGGGATGAAGTGTCCCATTTTAGAGAACTTATCGATAACCATGAGGATGGCGTCAAGCCCTCGTGAGGTCAAAGGAAGTCCCGTGATGAAGTCGAGGCTAACGACTTGCCATGGATGCTCCGGTACGGGTAGAGGATGAAGTAACCCTTGCTTTTTCTGCTTGCTACTCTTCATCCGCTGGCCTGTGTCGCATGAGGTGACGAACTGCTGCACGTTTGCTGCCATTTCGGGCCAATAGTAATACTTCGCCATCCCTGCTAACGTCTTGTTGCTCCCAAAATGTCCCGCATAAGGTACGTCGGAGCGGTCCATAGTTCGGTACCCAAATCTTTCCTGTGCCCTTCCTTACAGCTAAGTCTTTCTCCCACTATAACAACTACTTTGTCTGACTGTAGTGATTTCTTCGTCCACGGAGTACCCATGTTGGAATAGACCCTTGAGAAGAGAGTGTATCCCGTCGAGCTGGATGCCTGCTACATGACCGGGGCGGCTCAACGCGTCTGCTTTGTCGTGTAGCCCGGGCTTGTAGACGATGTCGTAGTGGAAGTGAGTTTCCAGGTAGTCCACCCACCGCACCTGTCGTCGTGAGAGCATCAGCTTTGACTTCAGATGTTTGAGACTGCAGTGGTCACTATAAACTGTAGTCTTGGCTCCCTCTAAGTAACACCTTCACACCTTGAAGGCTATGACTAGGAACTGCTGCAACTCCCTCACGTTCTCCGGAACTTTCCACTTCTTGATGGCTTCGATTTTCCGCGGGTCCATGTGTACGCCCTCTGCACTCACCATGTGCCCGAGAAATTGCACCTTCTCCAGGGTGAAGTCGCTCTTCGACAGCTTCACATAAATCTTGTTTCTGCGCAGGATTTTGAACACCTTCCACAGATGCTCCTCGTGCTCGTTCATGTTCTTGGAGTATATGGGAATGTCATCCAGGTATACTACTATGCATTCGTCCAGCAGGAGCCGTAGGATGTGATTCATCCCCGCCTAAAACGTTTCTAGTGCGTTGCAGAGTCCGAACGGCATCACCAAGTATTCGTTGGAGCTGAATCTGGTACGGAATGCCGTCTTGTGGATCGAGTTGTCCGCCATCTTGTTGATCTGCCAGTAACTCGACCGTAGTTCCAACTTCAAAAAGAATGTTGTACCACGCAGTTGGTCCAGTAGGTCGTCTATGCGCGATATGGGATATTTGTTTTTTACTGTTTGTTTGTTCAATGCACAGTAGTCGATGCACATCTGTAAACTGCCGTCTAGTTTTGGAGTGAAGAGAACTGGTGCACCGTAGGGAGAGGTGGATGGGCGGATTAGTTGTGTGTCCAGTAGGTACTCTATCTGTTTCTTCATGTCTGTCACTTCGGTTGGACTCAGTCGGTATGGTGCACGTGAGACAGGTTTCGCACATGGTTCCTCCACGATCTCGTGCTCGTGGGTGCGTGCCGGAGGTACGCCTGCAGGTAGACCGTCGGGCATTATATCCTTGTACTGCTCCAAGACCTCTTTCACTGCTGCAGGTAGCCCTGTGTTCAGCTTCTCTTCCTCTGCTGCTGTCATAACCAGTGCTAGGTATCCCGTGTTACTCTTGTTTACGTCTGTTCAAACCGTGCCAGTGTCATTTCAGGAACACTCTCTATGTCCGTCCATCTTCGCAGCTCCACTCGTTTCCCGTTGTTGTAGATGCACGCCTTCTTGTTGACCCAATCAATCTCGGGGTTGAACCGCTTCAGGAAATCTCGCCCCAAGGTGAAATCTAGTCCTTTGATGTTCGTGATTGGCAACGTCGGCTTCCACCTCAGCGCCCCTATGTGCAAGTGGAGTGATGCTTCGCCGTGGATGGGAAGTTTCATACCGTCCTCCATTGTTGCTGAGAACTTGGTCTCCTTGGAAGGTTCTCCAATTTTCTCCAACGTCCCGCGGTCACATACTAAGTGAGATGCACCACTATCCACTAGTGTCTGGAGGCTTCGTCCTTTGCATAACACCTCAAGGAGTAGTGGTTCCTAGAGCGCTGAGTACCCAAAGAGGGTCTCATTGATAGGATCATAGGGGACATCAAACATCTTTCCATCCCTATTTCCTACACCTGACTCAGCACTTTCAAGCTTCACCTGGTGAGCACGAGGATTTTTCCAAGGCTTGTACTGCTTTTTATGAGCCAGGAATTTTCCTCTTAGCCTTTGCAGCTATGTAGGCTTCACATGTGGGCAATGGGGAGCCCTAACACTGTGCTGCGGGGAGAGAACATATACTCCACGAAACGCACGACCTTTTCTATGCTCCGTAGAGATTTGCCCAACTTCTTCGGTACCTGAATAATCTCTAAAGGCTTTTTCTTGGCCTCTAAATCTCCCCTAAATTTGTGTAAGGCTTGAAAACCACGAGAAGCAATATTTTTTGTCAGGGTATCTTTACAGGATACTTGCAACGAATTCTTACTTTTGTAGGTGTTCGGATGGAGTTTCCCGGTCGGCGTGTCAAACATATATGCTATGGTCTATCTAGGCTGTAGTGGGGTAGACACTATAGGGTACAACATTTCTAGGTTTCCTACTTGTACCCACATTCTGCCTAGTCATTTCATTCCTCATTTCTTCACATGGTATAGAGCAGGTTCCCTAGTGGGAACGCTTCTTAGGGCCCACCACTGAAATCGATTTTTTTTCCTTACCGGAGCGCGAGTCGCCCCTGCCCGAGGCGCGCCCCGTGGGCCGCCTTCTCGTTGAGTCGCCCCTGCCCTTAGCGGCCTGTCGCGCTTTCCTAGAGGCCCCTCTCACAGCCCCTCGTGCCACCCTTAGCGGCCCCGTCGCCACCCCTAGCGGCCCCTTCGCCGCCCTTTGCGGCCCCGTCGCCGCCCTCCTAGGCCCCTCGCGGCCCCTTCGCAGCCCCGTCGCCACCCCTACCGGCCCCGTCGCCGCCCCCTCGCGGCCCCTCGCGGCCCCTTTGCAGCCCCGTCGCCGCCCCTAGTGGCCCCGTCGCCGCCCTTCGAGGCCCCTCGCGGCCCCTTTGCCGCCCCGTCGCCGCCCCTAGCGGCCCCGTCGCCGCCCTTCGAGGCCCCTCGCGGCCCCTTTGCGGCCCCGTCGCCGCCCCCTTTCGGCCCCGTCGCCGCCCCTTGCGGCCCCGTCACCGCCCCTTTCGGCCCCTCCCCGGCCCCTTCACCGCCGAGCCGCCAAGCAGCCGCACCGCTGAGCCGCTGAGCCGCCGAACCGCCGAGCCACCGAGCCGCCGAGCCGCCGAGGCCGCCGTCGAGCCGCCACTACCGAGCCGCTACCGTCGAGCCACTGCTGAGCCGCTGCCACCGCGGTTGCAGCCCTGTTCCTACCGGCGCGCCCCAGCCCTACCCACCTGGACTGGTGAGAGCACTCTCTGCTAGACCACTGCTGTCATGGCTACCCCCAGTGTCCTTACCTTTGATGTTGAGGGTCGTGCTGTTGACTTCGAGGTCTGGGTCGATGACCTACAGCTCTTCCTACAGTGCGATAGGGCAGACGGACTCTCCCTGTTTGATCTCACCTCTGGTGCCTCTCCTGCCCCGCCTGCTGATGCTGACAGCACTGTTCGCTCACAGTGGGCCCCACGCGATGCTGCTGCCCGTCTTGCTGTGCGTCGCGACTTACCGACCGCTGAGCGTGCGCACTTTAGTCAGTACAAGAGTGCTAAGACCTTGTACGACGCTGTAGTTGCACGCTACTCTTCCCTTGCCACTGCTGCACTGAGCCGCCTCATGCTGCCGTACCTGTTCCCTGACCTCGCCGCCTTTCCCACAGTCGCTGACCTCATTACGCACCTTCGCACTAGTGACACCCGCTACCGCGCTGCGCTTCCTGCTGAGTTCTGTGCCAAGAACCCTCCCCCCATGTACATCACCCTCTACTACATAGTCACCCGGCTCCCTGACTCCCTTCGCTTAGTCAGGGACCACTTCCTCTTAGTTTGCCCCACCACACTCACCGTTGACCTCCTCGAGGAGCGCCTCCTGGCAGCAGAGAAGAGCATAGTCGCTGTGGGAGCCTCTCGTGGTGACCCTCGTGCCCCCATCATTGAGGGGTGTTCCCCCTCCCCCCTCTTGCCCTCTGTTGGTTCTGCTGCTGCAGCCGACCTCGTTGGCTTCGAGTCGGTCAGAGCTGCGTCTGCCCCTAGCGGGAGACGCCGCACCGGCAAGGGCAAGGGGGGCAAGGGCGCTGGAGGGGCTGGCGGGGGCGGTGGAGGTGGCGGTGGAGGCAGTGGAGGGGGTGGGGGTGGTGGTGGGAGTGGTGGCGGGGGTGGAGGTGTCGGTGGCAGCGGTGGAGGCGGAGGAGGCGGCGGCGGTGGCGGTGGGAGCGGAGGTGGCGGAGGCGGCGGCGGCAGCGGTGGAGCTGGTGGCGGCTCTGCGCAGAGGAGTGGCTCCGGTGGTGGTCCGCGCCAGCTGCAGCAGCGCACTCGTGAGACCCCGTCCCCCCAGCAGCTTCGTGAGTGGTACGCTGGGCGTCAGCGAGGTGGGGGTACTGGTCCCTGTACCTACGTCCTCCGTACCGGCGACCGCGCTGGTGAGCAGTGCGGGGGCTCGCACTCCACTCAGCGCTGCTTCGGCCGCCTGACGGACGCTTGGCGTCACCAGTTCCCTGACGCCACTGAGATCCCTCGCTAGGGAGAGCTGTCTAGGGCGGGGGTTGCTATCTTTGATCTTGACTATGATGCTATTCTTGCTGCCATGTATGCTGTGTCTACTAGTGATGAGGGTGACGGTTACCCGTGTGTTCCGCCTGATCCGGGCATTGAGGCTGCTGCTCTAGGTGCTGGTGAGGCTGCTGCTCTAGGTGCTAGTGCGTCAGCCGCCCAAGGTGCTGGTGAGTCTGCTCTCTCAGGTACCACGTCGACTCAGGCCTTGCACACCTTCACCCTTGAATCGGGTGCTTCCCGCTCCTTCTTTCGAGACCGCACCACGCTTACGCCGCTTAGTCAGCCGGTTGCGGTCTCCCTGGCGGACCCCTCTGGGGGTCCTGTCCTTGCTCACTTCTCCACTGTCTTACTGTGTCCGGCAGCCCCCTCTGGCACCCTGTCAGGTCTCTACCTCCTCTCGTTCTCCACGAACTTGGTGAGTGGTGCTGACCTACAGGATGGGGGGGTTGACCAGTTCACTCCTGCGAGTCAGCGGGCGACCCACTGTACGTGTGCTCGGACGGGCCGCACTTGGCCACGTTTACCCGTCGGCCGGGGTCGAGCCTGTACACACTGACTACTGAGTCTCCTCCGGTTGCTGAGTCTGGTCAGGTAGCTGCGTCGAGTCAGGTGTTTGCTGTAGCGTCCAGGTCTGGTCCTGAGTATGCTCCCTGCTCCTGTCGTCTCTTGTCCCACCAGACTGGGGGTGCTAAGTCTGGGGGTGCTGAGCCTGGGGGTGCTAAGTCTGGGGGTGCTGAGCCTTGGGGTGCTGAGTCTGGGGGTGCTGGGCTTGGGGGTGCGGAGCCTAGGGGTGATGAGCCTGGGGGTGCGGAGCCTGGGGGTACGGAGCCTGGGGGTGCTGAGCCTGGGGGTGCGGAGCCTGGGGGTGCGGGGTCTGCTTGTGGGGCCTCTTGCGGTGCTGGGTTTGGGGGCCCTTCGGGTGCTTCGTCGAGGCGGGAGATACCTCTCCACAGGAGCTGCGCGAGTGGTTTGCCCGGCGCTGGAGCCGTGCTGCTGGAGCTGGAGGTGCTGCTGTTACTGCTGACCCTGGAGTCGGCACTGGAGTTACTGGAGCCACTGGTCCTGGGGGTGCTCCTACTGGCGGTACTAGAGCTGCTGGGCCTGGGGGTGCTGCTGATGGTCCTGCTCGAGTTGGTGCTGTTGGAGCTGGAGCTGGAGCTGCTGGGGGTGTTGGCGCTGGAGGTGCTGCTGGCGCTGGTGCGTCTGAGGGTGTTGGAGTTGGCACTGTTGGAGCTGGAGGTGCTGCTGGCGCTCGTGCTGCCGCTGGGGGTACTGGTACTGTCCCTGCTGGTTCTAGAGGCGCTGCGCGGCCGCGGCTGTACTTCGTTCCGCTCCTTGAGCAAGTTCTTGGTCTACCGACTTCTACTAGTCCTGCTCCTCCCTTCGAGTGTCCACAGCCTGTCCAGTCGCGGTCACAGTTACAGCCCGCTTCCCCCCTACCTGCTCCTTCTCCCTACACTGGTCCTACTGGAGGTCTTGCTGAGCCTTGTGAGCCTGCGGCTCGTCCTGCGTCGCCTGTTCGTGCTGCTCGCACTAGTAGTCATGCTCCGCGTCCGCGTCCTCCTGCGGTCCCAGGCACACACCAGATGGCACTGCGTCCTTCCACTGCTCCTCTGCGTGTCCCGTTGCCGTCTCCTCCAGAGTCCTCTCTTCCTACTCTTGCTGACCCGGAGTCTGACTCTCTTCGTGCTGCCAGTCCTACTGTGACGCGTCTCCTGGCTACTGTTGTCACTGACCCTTCCTTTGAGTCCACTACTGCGTCTGCCTTAGTTGCTAAGCTTGTCGACTTTGCTGCTCGCTGTCGTCTAGACTACGCCGCTAGTCTCATTGCTGAGTCTGAGTTTGTCTGTCCTCCGTCTGTCGGGGGTGAGTGTGCTCTTAGCACGAATTTCCTTGAGGACAGGCAGGAGGAGTTCCAGTGTTTTGCTGCTGCTTTGCCTCATCTCGTGTCCACGCTAATTGCCCCTGAGGGAGACCCGGATGCACCAGACATCCCGACTCCTCGATCGTACGCTGAGGCGATCGAGGGTCCCTACTCCTCACAATGTTAGTCAGCCATGGACGCAGAGATGGCTTCCTAGAAGTTCACAGGCACCTACGTCGACGAGGTTCCCCCACGTGGGGCGAACATCGTCAGCGGCAAGTGGATTTTCAGGGAGAAGCGGCCGCCGGGCTCTCCGCCTGTCTTCAAGGCGCGTTACGTGGCTCGAGGCTTCAGTCAGCGGCAGGGAGTTGACTACTTTCAGACCTTCTCTCCCACCCTGAAGATGACCACTCTTCGGGTGCTGCTGCACATAGCCGCTCAGCGCGACTACGAGCTTCACTCTCTTCACTTCAGCACAGCTTTCCTGCAGGGCAGCCTGCACGAGGAGATCTAGCTGCGCTCCCCACCTGGCTTCACTGGGTCGTTTCCCCTGGTACCCAGTGGAGCCTCCGGCGGCCAGTCTACGGTCTCCGCCAGGCGCCCCGCGAGTGGCACGACACACTGAGGACTACACTTGCGGCTCTTGGGTTTGCTCCTTCTACTGCCGACCCGTCGCTGTTTCTACACACCGACACCTCTTTGCCGTCGTTCTACATCCTCGTGTACGTCGACGACTTGGTCTTTGCCACTGCTGACACTGCTGGACTCGCCCACGTGAAGTCCGAGCTGCAAAAGAGACACACGTGCATAGACCTGGGTGAACTGCGCAGCTACCTTGGCTTGCAGATCACCCGGGAAAGAGCACAGCGCACCATTACCCTGACTCAGTCACACATGGTGCAGCAGGTCCTTCAGCGCTTCGACTTCACGTACTCCTCGCCTCAGGCCACTCCTCTGTCTACTCGCCACTCGCTCTCAGCTCTGCCTTCGGATGAGTCCGTAGAGCCGAGTGGCCCGTACCTAGAGCTTGTTGGCTGCCTCATGTACCTGATGACCTGCACACAACCTGACCTTGCATACCCTCTTAGCATCTTGGCACGCTATGTTGCTCCTGGGAGACACCGACCAGAGCACATGGCTGCAGCGAAGAGGGTGTTGCGCTACTTGTACAGTACGTCGGGCATGGGGCTAGTGCTTGGAGGGCGATGTCGAGTGGTCCTTACAGGTCACGCAGACGCATCTTGGGCTGACGACCAGGCTACGCAGCGGTCGTCACAACGGTCGTCTACCCGCTCGTCTTCTGTTCTCGGCTCCAGCTGTGAGGATGAGATCTACGCGGGGGCCATGGCAGCACAGGAGCTACGCTGGCTCACCTACCTGCTGACTGACCTAGGAGAGCCGCCTCGTTCTCCTCCAGTTCTGTACGTAGACAACAAGGCCATGCTGGCCTTGTGTCGGGAGCACAGACTGGAGCACAGAACGAAGCACATTGCTCTTCGCTACTTCCTTGCTCGTGAGCTACAGCAGCGTGGTTAGCTGCGCCTTGCTTACGTGGCCTCTAAGGCCAACACTGCTGATATCTTTACCAAGGCACTCCCGCCTTGTGATCATCAGCGCTTCTGTAGAATGCTAGGTCTTGTGCCTACTTGGCCTCACTTGCTCGCTTCTTGACCTTGCTTGTACTGTGATCTTTCTATACCTGCACTTGCTTGTTTACCTTTATATATGATCTTGCATGTGAACTAGCCTTTTGGCCTTGCTCTTGTGCTCGGATTGTGTGGTGACGTTGTGATCCACCCTGAGCTTGCTTTGCTTTGCTTGACTGGTCTTGTGACCTCTTGTTCTCCCCCACTTTGCCTATGGCGGTGTGTGAAACATATATGCTATGGTCTATCTAGGCTGTAGTGGGGTAGACACTATAGGGTACAACATTTCTAGGTTTCCTACTTGTACCCATTTTCTGCCTAGTCATATCATTCCTCATTTCTTCACACGGTGCAGAGTCTTTTTTCGCGGAGCCTCCATCCTCCTTGGCGATTTCTGTTGGAATCACTGAACAGGAATGAAATGAACTAGCAGTGAAATGAGTACAAGTACCTAACCCTAGAATTGTGTACCCCCTATAGGCTAACCCACTGTAGCCTAAACTAACACAACATATATAATGTTTGACACACCCCCATAGGCAAAGTGGGGGAGAACTAGGGGTCACAAGACCAGTCAAGGCAAAGCAAGGCAAAAACAAGCTCAGGGTGGATCTCAAGGATACCACACAATTTCCGAGCACAAGCAAGTGGTCACAAGACCAGTTCACATGCAGGTTTATAATAGAGCAAAAGGTACAATGATCACAACCTAACAAGAGTAAACATGCAGGTATATATATAGAGATCACAGTACAAACAGACTCAAGAAGTAAGCAAGTGAGGTCCAGTAGGCACAAGGCCTAGAAGAGTGCAAAAGCGCTAATGGTCACAAGGCTGAAGCGCCTTGGTGAACACATCAGCAATGTTGGCCTCAGAGGCCACGTAACGCAGGCGAAGCTGACCACGCTGCTGCAGCTCTCGAGCAAGGAAGTAACGCACAGCAATGTGCTTCGTCCTGTGCTCCAGTCTGTGCTCCTCACACAAGGCAATGGCTGCCTTGTTGTCGACGTACAGCACTGGAGGAGAAGGAGGCTGCTCTCCAAGGTCGGTCAGCAAGTAGGTGAGCCAGCGTAGCTCCTGGGCCGCCATGGCTGTGGCGTAGATCTCAGCCTCACAACTGGAGCTGAGAACAGAAGAAGAGCGAGTAGAACGCCAAGAAACAGAACCAGAGCCAAGACTGAAGGAGTAACCCTGAGACGACCGCTCAGTAGCCTGGTCGTCCGCCCAAGAAGCGTCTGAGTGCCCAGTGAGAACAACTGGGACTCGCCCTCCAAGCACTAGCCCCATGCCCGACGTACTGCACAAGTAGCGCAACACCCTCTTAGCTGCATCCATGTGCTCCTTCCGGTGACGGCCGGGAGCGACATAGCGTGCAAGAATGCTGAGAGGGTATGTAAGGTCTGGTCGAGTGCAGGTCATCAGGTACATGAGGCAACCCACAAGCTCTGGATACAGGCCACTCGGCTCTACGGACTCATCCGAAGGCAGAGCTGAGAGCGAGTGACCAATAGGCAGAGGAGTGGGCTGAGGCGAGGAGTACGTGAAGCGGAAGCGCTGAAGGACCTGCTGCACCATGTGTGACAGAGTCAAGGTGATGGAGCGGCGTGCTCTGTCCCGGGTGATCCGCAAGCCAAGATAGCTTGTCAGTTCACCTAGGTCTGTGCACGTGTGTCTCTTCTACAGCTCCGACTTCACGTGGGCGAGTGCCACAGTGTCAGCAGTAGCAAAGACCAAGTCGTTGACGTACACAAGGACGTAGAACGGCGGCAGTGAGGTGTCGGTGCGTAGAAACAGCGACGGGTCAGCACTAGAAGGCGCGAACCCAAGAGCCGCAAGCGTAGTCCTCAGTGTGTCGTGCCACTCACGAGGCGCCTGGCGGAGACCGTAGACTGGCCGTCGGAGGCTCCACTGGGTACCAGGAGGGAACGACCCAGTGAAGCCAGGTGGACGGCGCAGCCAGATCTCCTCGTGCAGGCTGCCCTGCAGGAAAGCAGTGCTGAAGTCAAGCGAGTGGAGCTCGTAGTCACGCTGAGCGGCGACGTGCAGCAAAACCCGAAGAGTGGTCATCTTCGGGGTCGGGGAGAAGGTCTGGAAGAAGTCAACTCCCTCTCGCTGACTGAAGCCTCGTGCAACGTAACGCGCCTTGAAGACAGGCGGAGAGCCCGGCGGCCGCTTCATCCTG